CCCCGCTTCCCATTTTTATTTTTAAAATTGAATAATAGATGATTTTTTTTTAATCCTAATATTCATTTGCGCGTACGTGCCCGTGTCCACCTTAACATTTTTTTTCTACAATTTAACTCTTATTAAATTTTTCATAAACATTTTTAAAAATGTTATAACCGGCTACTTTAATCTAAATAACCATTATTAAAGTAATAAATGATTTTGAATGGCATTTTCGATTTAATATTTGGTAATTTTAGACTGCAGACTTTAATGTTTGTTTTTCATGCAACTTTTTTCATATTTTTGTTTTTTTTTGATTCTCAAAACGCATTTGCAGGATGGTGCCCATGCCCCCCGTCCCATTTTTATTTTTAGAATTGAAAATTACCTAATTTTTTTATAATTTTTTTTATTTCATTCCGTAAACTCATTTGCCTCCGGGCTCCCATGCCCCCCTTCAAATTTTTTTTCAAAAACATAACTCTAGTTCCACTTTTTATTCACATTTTTCTTCTTCATATTAACTTTACCATTATTTAATTATTGTAAATAAAGCTTTGAATTTAGGTATACTGATATTATAGACTGCAGTCTTTGTTTTTAATGCAACTTTTTTCATATTTTTATCTTTTTGATTCTCAAAACGCATTTGCCAGCGGGCGCCCATATCCTCCTTTCCATTTTTATTTTTAATATTAAAAACTATTTGTTTTTTTTTATATATTTTTCTTTTTTGATTCTCAAAATGCATTTACTTGCAGGCGCCCACGTCCCCCTTCCTATTTTTATTTTTAAAATTAAATCCCCTTTGATTCTTTTATATATTTTTCTTTTTTGATTATATAAATGCATTTGCCTGCGGGCACCCATGTCCCTCTTCCCATTTTTACTTTTAAAATTTAATTCTAGATGACTTTTAAATACCATTTTTACATTTTAATAACCAGCTGGTTCCTAACACATATTAGTTTTACCATTATTTAATTATTGTAAATAAATCTATGAGTTTAGGAATACTGCAGATATTGTAGACTGCAGTATTTAATGTTTGTTTTTAATGCAACTTTTTTCATATTTTTATTTTTGTTAATTCTCAAAACGCTACTGCCCGTGTGCGCTCATGTCCCCCTTCCCATTTTTATTTTTAGAATTGAATATAATCTCAATTTTTTATTTTTATTTTTTTATTTCATTCCTTAAACTCATTTGCCTGCGGGCTCCCATGACCCCCTTCCCATTTTTATTTTTAAAATTGAATTCTCGATGACCTTTAAATACCATTTTTAAATTTTGATACACAGTTGGTTCCTTAAAATATTCATTTTCTCATGATATAATTATAACAAAAGACGCTAAGAGTTTAGGAATACTGATATTATAGATTTCAGTTTTTAATACTTGTTTTTAATGCAGCTTTTTTCATATTTTTATTTTTTTTGATACTCAAAACGCATTTGCCTACGGGCGCCCACGTCCCCCTTCATATTTTTTTTTCTTAAATTAAATCCCATTTGATTTTTTTATATATTTTTCTTTTTTCATTTTCAAAATGCATTTGCCTGCGGGCGCCCATGACCCCCTTCCCATTTTTATTTTTAGAATTGAATATAATCTCAATTTTTTATTATTTTTTTTTAATTTCATTCCTTAAACTCATTTGCCTGCGGGCTCCCATGACCCCCTTCCCATTTTTATTTTTAAAATTCAATTCTTGATGACTTAAATACCATTTTTACATTTTGATAACCAGCTGGTTTCTTCTTCATATTAATTTTACCATTATTTAATATTATTGTAAATAAAGCTTTGAGCTTAGGTATACTGGTGTTATAGACTGCAGTTTTTAATGTTTGTTTTTAATGCATCTTTTTTCATATTTTTATCTTTTTTGATTCTCAAAATGCACTTGCCTGCCAGCGCTTATGCCCCTTTTCAATTTTTTTTCTTTTATTTAACTCTAGTTCAATAGTAATTTATATGAAAGACGTACTAAATATAGTTATCTAAAAATTACTTAACACCTATTATTAGTCTTGGATGGGGTTGAGACACGTATCCCCAGTCCCACCCATAGAAATTTGTTTCTGTTCTGGCGGCCTGAATTTTGGTGTAGGAATTCCAAGATCTTTCATAAGAATTTATTGGAATGACGTACTAAATATAGGAAAAAAAAATTGCCACATTTTAGATAGGTGGTACTGTGGACATGTGCGTTCCATACAAGACGCATTTGGGTAACCATAGAACGCTTGTCCGTCTTTTTATGTTGTACGTAATGATATTTACTTAAAAATGTGTAATTTTCGTTGAAAAATCAATGCCAACAATATGCAGTTTATGGAAAATTCGTAAATATCTTTAATTTTAACATAATGACCAAGTTAAGTTACAGTTATTTATTTATGAAATAACTTAGTTACTCTTACTCACTATGTCGTTGTATAATATTCTATTTTTTTAACTAGTTAAGTTGAATGTTATCAAAATAAATAATTTATAACTTAATTTTTAACTTTTTAACTAGTTATTGCCCAACTTTGCTTTTTGTTTTCCCATGAATATGATTAAACAAAGCAAGATGTACATCTAATAGAGTGATCCGTTGAAAACATTATATGAGAACTATATTAACTGTGTGAGACTATTATATTGTTTCATGGGTGGTTAATTTAGAGAAGTTTAAATTGATATGGTTCTATATATTCAAATATAAAACGATGTACAACATGATTAAGATAAAAAAAAATATTTATCGCACCGTACTAGGTACTAATTATATAACTATTTTCAGATGGCTACATTAAATTTAAGCAGTAGAGTTGTACACATCGATTTCGGTAAATATAGTAAAAATACCGTGACGTTCATAATGGCATATTGATAAACTCGCTGCTTTATCTTTTATTCTTAAACATTCTAGACCAATTATCATAATATAATAACTAATAAGGCAAAAGTTGCTGTTCGGGAAACGTCGAAACTAACGTGGAAGATGTTTTTCTTGGATTAGCTTTTTTGGCAAAAACAATTTATTATAAAAAATTAGATTTAGATTAAAAAACTATGATTTGGCCTACTGCGCTGTTGATTAGTATCACAGTTATGGCCCAGCCCTGCCCTGCTTACAGATAATGCACCAGTTGCGTCCCTGGGTTTGGTAAGTACTGCAAAATGTGACCTGTACGTTTTTATTTTGAATAAACAATACTAAAATATCTGCTAAAAAAATACCAACCTATCAATCACGTTGATTTGACGCAAGGCGCCATGAAATTGCATGTAAATTTGTTATACATTTTGTATACATTTTTTTTCAGTATATTTTTACCAAAACAAATTACAACACTTAGGTACCTACTTATATAATTGTTATAAATGTAACCGCTGATCCGAAATTGCAAGACTATAACAAAAAACCCTATTATTGACTATCGAGTATCGAATATATTCTAGAATAATTGAAATGTTATGAGTAATATATTGTAATTACTGGTTTGTAATACTATTAAACCTATAGTATGTTCTGCGCGTGGATTCAATATCTTCTATGGAAAACACACTAATAATAAATCTTTGTTTAAACTTAAAAAAAATATTTCTTCAAACAACTGCGTTAACTAAATAATGTAGATTACATAACTTATAAAGGTTTTTGTTATTCAATTAAAATACACATTTTTTTGTCAAAGTCATCTCCCCTAAATTATGCCCATTGTACCTAGAGTAACTTGGAACCCAACTCGTATTTTCGGTCAGAATTATAAGTGACTTAAATACTCAATGATTGATTAAGATATACTTAATCTACCTAGTTTATTTATAATATATAAATAAATATAGGGCGATTCACCTAGCTTAATTATCTCCATTTTTTCCTTCGACAGTAAATGTTAATTTATTCAAATTTCTAATACAGATTTTGTTTTTGTTTTTTTAATGTATATTTAAGGACTATAATACTAATATGATCCACATTTAATATTTTAATTGAACATTTTGAAGCAGATGATTTTTTTTGAAATTTTTGATGTATCTAAATCAACATTTTACGAGTAGTTCCAAGTCAGTATTGAAGTATAAACAATGCGTACGAAATCGTGCTTACACTCATTAACTTAAATAATGTACCTAAATTGAATACAAATAACAATTAGTATACCTGAAGTTTGTGAGTACATTTTAAATTTGATTTAAAAATTAGTTATAACTTATGTCATATAGTTATATTGAATGTCGGTACCAGAATGTGGTATAGTAATAACTAAAAAGGTAAATAGGACTTAGTACATAGTTGGTTGAAATGTATACAGAGTTTCCTCTCGAAAGTGAGGCAGACCTATAGTGCTAAAAAACTGGGTACTCCACTGCATAGTGCCATATCCAAACCTAATATAATTCTTAGTAGATATAGAAAGTAGAATTACTAAAAAGCTACTCATTCAAATTTTGATTTGGATAGATAAATCTTACTTGAAAATTAGAAGTTGGTATAGCCGCATGACACTCCTTAAATGGTAATCAAAATCTAAGTAGGTACTAGAAAATAAGGACATTATGCATAAGTACTTCCATATTTCAAAAATTAGAATTCGAATAAAATCATTATTAAATGAAAAATGGGGATGAGGATGCTAGGCGAATCATCCTGTATATTTTTCTAAACATTTGACTATAGATATCAGAAAACAATAGTTCTATGGTGACTTGACACTTTTATCGTCTATTTTAAATTTTATTTACGTAATACTGATATTAATAAAGTATTGACCAGTTTTAAGATAAGTATGTGACTTTTGAAATATTTTATGGTTTCTCTTATAAAATATACAATATTGAAGGCCTGAGAATGTAATCATTTATATTTTATTGCATAACTGTTATTATTCAAACATTTTAATATCCTACTACCTAATGTGATATATTATATATTAAATGTGTATATATTAAAATAATTAATAACCAACGTTTTTTTTTTATAGTATAGGTATGCATAGCAACACAACACCACATAACAGTACAATATATTAATTAATCTTGTGTTAGTAATAAATGCTTTAATCTAATTAATTTGGGGGAGTTGAAGTATGGGGTGAGGATAAAATATATTGTAATTTGTATTAACGTAAAATTAAATGTAATTATAGGAACCTAATCAGAGAAAAATTCTATTTCTCCTCTGAATAAATTCCTACTATTACGCCACTTTACTGAAGGATGTCCAGCTGTTTGTAACATACCTTGTATTCCCACCAAGAAGTGGGGAAAAAGCATACTATAATTGTTACCAGATACATAGCATTATATTCTCGTGTTTTTATTATAACAACTATTTATTCATTCAACATTTATGTACCTACCGTCTACCGGTGGCCAATTATTGATATACTCTTTGCAATTTTCGCCGGCTGTTATTTTGCTTCTATTTTTTCAACATGCGCATGGTTATTGTTTTATTATTGACACGTTTGTATTTTTTGGTGGCTGGTCATCAGTATCCTATAGTAGAAACTGAAAGTGGGCTCATATCTGGAAAACTATCGAAAACATGGAAAGGAAGAACTATTTACAGCTTCCAAGGAATACCTTACGCTACTCCTCCAGTGGGGAAGCTGAGATTTCAGGTGAGATTGTCAATGTGAAATATTTTACAGGTGTATATAAATACAAAATATTAAAACACACATAATACATAATATTATGTTATAGGAAGCTCAGCCGATAAAACCTTGGCTGGGTGTGTGGAACGCATCATCTCCGGGTAGTAAATGTATTCAATACGACCATTCGAGTTATTTAATTGAAGGAGACGAGGACTGTCTTTATGTGAATGTATATACACCAAAAGTTAGTGATTCGTATATATCCATTTTAGTTTCAAAAAATAATTGTTTTAATTTATAATCTAGCTTCCGGTAAAAGGAAAAAGTAATAAACTTTTGAATGTATTGGTTTTTATTCACGGAGGCGCCTTCATGTTCCTTTACGGATCTATATACCAGCCCGATTACATTTTGGACAAAGATATAATTCTAGTTACATTTAATTATCGGCTCGGTCCAATAGGTAATGTAATATGAAATCGACTTTGTAATTAACAAATATTATCTAGTTATGATTTTATATTCTGAAAATAATAATAACAATTCACATTAAACTGAATATATTTTAAAATTACAACTGTAGATTTCAGTTCCTACTTCCTAATTAAATATTCCTTAAACTCTCTACACACTAGAAGCTATCCTTAATCCTAAACTTACTACTCAAACAAGAACAACCTGCAATAAGCAAACCTAACCTAGAAATAACAAACACAATAAAAGAAAACTTAGCTATATCATATTATTCTATTTATTGGATGACACATAATTGAGCAAAAAACAAATTTTTTACGTAGTGGTAGGTACTTTGTCGACATACAAAAGAATGTAGAAATACAAAATAAAATCTTCATGATTGAGCATAAATAATTCTGCGAAGTTGTAATTCACAATTATTTTTAACTATATTAGACAAACAATATTTATTTAAATAATTAATATAATACATTATACGATATGAGTTTAAAAAAAAACACGATTTTATGGTCCTAATATAACCTAAATGTTCAAAATATTGTCCATATTTTACTTGCCAATTAATTTATACTTGTATAAATTTACTATTGTCAATTCTTTACCTCTTTCCGATAAAATAATTTGTAAATAATTTATGGTTTATAGGTAGCTTGCATAATAAAAAAAAATAAAAATAAAACGCGTTTAATACTTTTTTGACCCACTGACGTATATGAAAGACTAAGTAATTGAACACTCACAACACAGTGCACATATAAGTACTGAATTTCATAATAATTTTGGAATAGTTACTTATCTTAAACTATAAATTCTCATGAGTAAATGTTTAAAACTTAACGTTTATAAGTTATAACGGTCTGCAATATCACGGATAAAACTAAAATTTATTTTTTCATTGCAGAACTTATTTATTAATAGTTTAATATGATTGATAAAGCTGGGTTCGGTGATTTAATAATATATGAAAATAATAAACTGAACAATAATCGTTAAGAAAAAAATTCCATGCTCAATCATGTCTTACCGTAATTATCTTATTCTATTTTCAGTTACCTAAAATCTCTTACTAATCCTTATTTATTATCAACATTAAATCTGAAGCGGTCATCAAAAAAATAATTGTTTTCATATTGGAAGCTTGTTTTGTTATAAAATAGTTATATTTCGTTTTGTTATTGTCATAATATTGTACCATTTCAAATAACTGTCGAGTTGCCATAGTCACCAACTAAAAGCTAGGTAGGTAATAATGATAAAAAAAAAACAACTGCAGATGCATATATTTTATTCCATCTATTTATTTTAAAAATAATACAAAATATTTTATTTGTGATTATACAATGACTTAAATGAATATTTTTTTCATACGTTTTTATAAAATTGTATACGATTAACCTCTGCAATTTACCTAACCTTCAATTTATGAAATTCAAGGTTGAATTATTTTGTATTTGCATTTTGTATAATATATAGAAGGATAAAGTAGTTTTTATAAGTTAAACTACTATTATACCTACTATATTATACTCATTAATAATAATTATAGTAATAAAGATCAAATTATATTCACATTTACATATTTCATATTATGCCTACACAAAAAGACAGATATCTAAGAAATATACATTATACAGGTTTTTTTAGTACTGGAGATTCCGTAGTGCCCGGCAATAATGGATTAAAAGATCAAGTACAAGCGTTAAAATGGGTGAAAAGAAATATAAAGTATTTTGGAGGCGATCCAGAGAATATTACAATCAGTGGAATGTCGGCTGGAGGTGCCAGTGTTCATTTCCATATGTTGTCACCATTGTCTAGAGGTTACACATTGGTTTATGTTTTTTTTTAAATTATTGTACCTAGTGGATGATAATTAATTTCCTGTGTTAAATGTACTCGATTTCATATTATAACATATCCCAATGTGTCATATATTTTATGATACAGGACTGTTTCAAAGAGTATTCTCTCAGAGTGGAACGGCATTATGCCCTTGGACAATAACCGAAAATGTACCGGATAAATCAGCAGCAGTCGGAGCTTACCTAGGTTGTCCTACTCGTCCGTCGAAAGAATTGGTCGACTGTTTAATGTCGAGGCCAGCTTTACACATCGTAGAAGCAGTAAAAATATTTCTCGTGAGTACCTAGCAATATTAGACTGTTGATGCGTTGTTCGTTTTTAAATGTATACTTATATGTTTTACGCTAATTCGATCGTTATATGGAATTCGTAGCCGTTCCTGTACAACCCATACTCTCCTTTTGGACCGATTGTAGAGTTACCGAGTGAAAATGCTTTTATAAGCGAACTGCCCTATCAAATTCTTGCCAAAGGCCTAGCGGCTGATGTACCGTGGTTGTCCAGTGTTGCCACTCACGAGGGCCTCTACCCTGGATCTGGTATTCGATTTTACTAATGTTATAGTTGTTAGGTACGCTATCGTTACAATGAATAAATAATACTACGTATTATGTTTTTAAGAATTTATCAATAACCCTACGTTATTGAAGTACATTGACGAAAATTGGAACAAAGTCATGCCGCACATACTGGATTACAACTATACAGTACCCCAAGATAAAATCGACAACGTGTCTGAACTTATCAGAAAAGAGTATATAGGCAGTAAAGAATTGGTTAAAGGAAATACAGAACAATTTATTCAAGTATTCAGAATTTGTAAAATTGTTTTTCGTCAATCGTCAGATAGTTTATAATTGGACATCATTTTCAGATGATAAGCGATCGCCTGTTTGTAGTCGATATTATAAAAGCTGCTAAAATGCATGCACTGCTTTATAAATCTCCGGTATATTTGTATCAATTCGGATACCGGGGTAGCCACAGTCTATCGGAACATTTTGCTCAATCAGATGAAAATTATGGTAATAACATAGGCGCAAATTGGGTTTCAAATTTGGGGGGGGGGGGCTGTAAATTTTTTTAAGCAAACCCTTGCGCCATGCCCAATTATGGTAAGTAATAATTAGGGCTGTGCATCGAATGCATTAAAAAAATTAAAATTACTAAAAGTTTTGTACATAAAGCTTAATAATCCTAAAAATGCGTTTCAATCTCTTATAAATGGATTTGAATCTTTGAAAAATATTCCACTTAAAATGCACTATAATTATAATAAATTAAAAATCACAATTCAAAAAATATAAAAATCTATCAAGTGTAAAATATTTTAAATTAAAGATATTATTAATTTCGTACGACACTTACAACTTATTTATACAATATTTATAAGTAAAAAATTAAATAAATAAAAATAATTCATAAAGGGGATATAAAAAGTTTAACTGACTAAAAACCATACAAAAAAATTTAAAAAGTAATAAAAAAGTAGGTAAAATGTAAAATAAAAGTTTCAAATTTGAATTTATTTGAACAGAAAGAGGCTAATTCAAGCGTTAAAGAAATATAAAATATCACATTTTTCTACAAATTTACAGCCTTAGTAATAATAATATACCTCCTATTCATAATAATTATTATATTTTATGAAAACGTTAAAAAAATTTCAATACTTATTATTTCAAACATTTAAAATTAACTTCAAATAAACTTATTTGATATTTCTATACATTTTTTCGAAATTGATTATCCTACCTTGTGGGAGGGGGTGGTGAATCAACCCTAAATTTGTGCATATGGGTAATACAAATATCCTAAACTATATTATATTATTATACAGATTAATGATTTTACAACATTGTCATTGTATTTTTAGGAGCTAGTCATGCCGATGACACGGGTTACGCATTAAAAAACGTATATGTAAAAGTCGAAGACTCAGAATCGGATAAATCGTTAGTGCCAATTATAGTTGATATTTGGACATCGTTTGCTTTCGAAGGGTAATATTTTATTTGATGTCTGTAGGATAAATTTATCAAAAAACAATTATTTTTGAAATAGAATACCATCAACTGGAATTAGCTCTATCAATTGGACACCAGTGAGCAAAAACCCTAATCATTCGGCCGTGTCGTTTTTAAAAATATCTTCCCCTACTAATATTACAATGAGCGAAGTCGAGAATATGGGAAGAACTAGTTTTTGGGATTCGCTGGGCTTCAACGAGAATGAACACTATTCTTATCATGAAAATAAAGATGTTTAATTTTCTTAAATGTATTACCTAATAATACTTCAATTGTAATGCTCAGTTGCATTTATTTTTATATATAATTTATGGAATACAAAGTACTAATTTTTTTTATAAATTTGTGCATAACTTAAGTTATTTTTTTAAGGAATCAAAATACTTCTTAGTTTTTTTAAATTTATGTTAAATAATATATTGGCATTTAGATTTAAAATATTGTATTGTTGTATTAATATTATATTATTTGATTTACATTTGTAATCATGAATCATAATCTATAATGATCATGATTTTTAAAAATAATTTGGTGTGATGTTACTGAAAAATTAAGATTTTTACAATTGTATAATTTACTTTTTATGTAACAAGACTCGGTTAATATTATATCTTCTAGAAAATTTGTTTTCAACAACAACGTTTCTTAAAATATACGTAGCATGCGTCTATCATGACGTATGCTTATTTCAATTTGAACAGCAAGCATATTAAAAAAAATCAATTAACCTTAAACCTACCTAACTTATATATATTTTTTTTTGGTATATGAATTATTATAATTTTCTCACGGGTTGTTAATAACAAAACGAGTTTTGAAATCTTTGCACTGGTTAATCTATACTCTTCGCTTCGTTTAAATTGACTTAAACCTATACAATTTATTATAAATTTAAATTTTGGTAATTCATTTTGAGCTATTATAATTTATAGAATTATAATAATATAGGTATTATGTTTAATCATACATGAATAGTAATTTATATTAATGATGGCAAGTCTTGAACCCGTGAACAATTACCAATATTTATAGTAATAATACTAATAATAGTATAAAATAACCGAAACACGCTACTCGATATTTTCCTCTGCAATGAAAATCTATGAATCATAAATATGTTTTTGTTTAAGAACCATTGTTGGTAACCACGCAGTAACAAAACCTTACGAAAAATCGGTCAGAAAGAAAAAAACGTGTGTCCGGCCCAAAAATATATTTATGTTAAAAGTATCAAAAACAGTTAAGAAGGGCAAAAAACACGTCAAGTCTTATTGATTAGTAGAGCGTGGCTTTATACAATCTTCTCTCGGTGATTTATCGCATTGTAAGGTGGGTGCTTAGGTACACAAGTATAGCGCATAACTCTTCACTGGTTATCGTTGAAAATCTTTGAAGCACTGGACAGCTATCGATAACTATGAAACATTGATATTTTTATTAGAGCAGTGCTACTATTTTCTATTACCTGTCATATATTTTATAAACACAATAGTTAAGCTGGGTTCACACTGCAGCGATTTGTATCGTATACTATTGAGTGTGGAGGTATTACGCCGCAAATCAGATACTATTGTTTAATTATTTACTTATTTATTTCGTAGAAACATTTTAATAGTCTTGTTGTGTTGGCTGTCCAGAAAAATATTAAAATCGACTCTGAAGTTGTACTTGACGAAACAGCATTGAAGCCACATTATTAAGTAGATATTTTATTGTAATTAAAACAGTATAAATATATACTTTTGTAATGTATCAACAGTACCTACATTCTATAGTATTTGTAAACGTGAATATTTAAATGTGTAATCTTACAGTGATCTCTTTATATTTGTATTGAAAGGTACACACTGTTACAGGAACAAAAATTATGTTGTATATTACTTGGTATATACTTAACCAAATTAAGATGTTTTTAGGTAGCAACTTGTTTGTAATACGTTACCACTTACCAAGGTACCTAAGATGAATATTATGTTAATATCTACACACGAAATAGTTATTGGGAACCCTGCTATATGGTTACAACTATAATGATCGGTTGCTTCACACACACTCGCACAACCATTCCATATTGATATAGAACATTCAATATTTCTTATACATTTTAACTCCTTAAAAAGTGTCCACTTTCAACATAAATGGAGATCGTATCGGGAAGAGCCAACATCACAACAACGACGCTAATGTATTTTTAGTAGCCTATCTACGACGCCGCAGCATTGTAACTGTATGATTGAAACGTAATAATATGAAAAATGTATTTATTTCCACGTACAGTCACAGAGTATAACCTTACTGTGAGGTAATTATTTATATCATATGAATTACATTTTATTAGTTCTTTATTGAATTCAGTTTGACAAATAGTGGTAGGCATTGTTATTACTAAAATATATGTGGTCATGCGGTCATGCGGGTAAATACAATTAAATTTAAAAAGCATTACCGGAAGGCTTGTAAACTCATCGACGCCTTTATTACAATAGAATATCGAATTAACAAAGTATTTCGATTTTAGATGTATGTGAATTCCGAAAATATATACTTTTTCAGTCGTACAATACACGATTATTAGTTAGGTTCCAAATAATCTGAGTCTAAAAAAGAAAAAAACAGTTAATGGATGTGTTGACTAACAATAATTTAAATAACAGCTTTGTAAAAACTTATGGAATAGCAGTGCTTCTAATCATTAACTGTACCTCTAAGGCCACTATTAAGTCTCTTATAGCATCCATACCTGTGTAGGTAACAACTAACTTCAAAGAGCATTCAAGTGCCCTTCTTTCGGTGACTGTACCTATATTACAAATTACAATACGACCACAAAACTGATAATTATAAGTATTGTAGTATCATAAGTAGGTATGGATAATATACAATAGTATAGCTCAGCGGCCGATCTTCAACCCGTGGTCTGTATTCTCTGCGATCACATTTTAAGTACCTAAAGCATGTATCTTTTCTATTTCGATAAAGTTAGAACGGTTATAACTTATAAGCCATTATTTATAAAATAAATGTATTTACTAATGCGGTGTTCTTTGTGAGGCACCCTACAGAATCATTACCTCAGTGGTTCTCAAACTTTTTATATTCACTTACCACCTTCACAGAACATTTTCAGATATATACCATACCACTACCCATAACTTAATAACTTTTTGTTTTGATTATCAAAACCTTATTTTATACTCTGCATGGCATTCACTGTTGGAACATTTAAAAACAGCTTATGCAAAATAAACCAAATAAAATTTAATGTTAAAAATGATTCAGTCCCATTTTTGTATTAAGGAGGTTTTCTCCGCCTACCATATAGGTTGAGAAACGATTGCACTGTACCATACACTTTTATAAGTGCACCACACACAGACTTATCATCACTGTAGCCAAGTTTCCACATGATCTTTAAACCGTAGATTCAAAATGCTGTGTTGTTTTAGATTTAAGAATTGATAACATAATACCTATATAATACCAAATTGATTAGTTATGTATATGTTTTTATATATTTTTTACTACAAGTTTTGGAGTACGATTCTGTTCGATTACTGTTCTTAAAATATATTTATAATATGTTATAAGTCCACAGTCATCTGTGTAGGCTGTGTGTCTGATATAGATATCGAGCTATTGAAATAAAGTAGAGATTTTTTGAATTGTTTTGAAATTGGTGTTTATAATTCTAATTAAAAAAGGTGATTCATTTTATTCAAATTTTGAAAAACGAGTCTTATGCCGAGTTGCATGAATAGCGGTCACTAAACATTTAATCAATCAATATTGAACTAATGGTCCCTTAAACTTGATTTAGTGTTCGATGTTTGCTTCATTAAATTTTATTGAACCGTTAAATTGATCAATTTTTCATGCAATCTGGCATTAATATTTTGTTTTGGCATTGAATATTAATATAGCTGGCTAATATTGGTAAAAAAAAAAAAACAATAACAAAAAAGGTGTAAAATTAACTGACATGTTTTTAATCATAAAAATTAGTGAAAGAAAATAATGATTTTGTTATTATAGCACAAAAAGAATAATATAGTACAAATATTTTTACATTATAACATAACGTTTATTCTAATTTATACATTGATAATATTCATAAAACATTAATTAACTAGAATCTACTAATTTTTATAGATCATTATTTACAAGATGAATTAGACGTATAGAATTAAGTAAAATTAAGTAGAATTAAGCATTGTATTGTGTTGTTTATATAAAGTAAAAACGGGCTACATAATATTGGCAAGCAATTGATGAGTTTCAAATGTATATAGAGGCAAGATAGAAATATACGATAATTTTGTGCTTGATAAAATATTATACATAATAATTAATATTGTGAAATGACTTAGACTATATAATGAAAAAAAAAACAATTGAACGAGTGACTAATAATAACACATTTAAATAACATATGTTCGTTATGGCATAACACATTATTTCTAGGGTACAAAAATGTAATATATATATAATATATATATATACGTTTAAAATAAAATAAATAAAAAAAACATACTATCTATAAAGTACACGAACGTATGTCTTTCTTTTGTCGCTTCTAACTGTGGTTACCGCATTGCGTTACTTATATGAGCACTTAGTTTTGAACTGACGTGTTATGGACGTGGTCAGTGTACACTGACTGGAGGTAAAAAGTCACCACAACGCGGGAAGTTTTCGGGAACCGGCGGTAAATCGGCGTGTGTCCCGACGTGAAGCACCAAATTCATACCGATTACGATATGGAACAAGAAGTGACAATGGAACAGCCAGTAACCTGTGAACAAAAAGTTTAACGTTTGTATACTCGGTGAATTAACTGTATTAACAATACATTAATGGAACGTAAGTCACGCGTGGCAATAATAACGATAATAATATGTGCAAAAAAAAGTAGGTATCTACACTAACCGAATCAACTGTTTATAATATTTAAACGTAGCGTAAGGCACGTGTGATAATTATAATATGAAAAAAGTACTCTTATAATATTATTGAATCTATTCCAATCGACGATTCTTACCTGGGTTGTCGGCTCTGAACCGGAATACGACGTATCCGTTGTTGGGCACGGCTATCGTGTCTTTGAGCGGTGGCAAATTGAAATGCCTGTCTAAAAGTCCTCTTCTGTCCAAATCAAGAGCGTGTTTCAAGTTGATTTTCTTGACGTTCTTGTCGGGTGATCTTCCCATACCAATAACGTTGAACGAGTAACCGTGCAAATGGAACGGATGACTCAAATTCGGTTGTTGGACTATTGAAAAAAAAATAACAATACAGTTTTATCACATTTTGTATATTATTATTGAAGTATTGCAAGGTTTGTAAAATATAGATAAATTACCTTCATCGACCAACACGACTTCCACAACAGCGTGCCTTGGAATATCGACTTTGTGCGAACACATGCAATTTCTGCCACAATTTGCTGGCTTGTTATCTCCGTTACAGAATAATTCTGGAGGTATATCGTCTATCTGGGAAATCATTGGAGATGCCGGAGAGGTATAAGAAATTTCGTCCACTAAACTGATTACATGGTCTCCACCACCGGGAGCCACTGAAAAATTAAAAAAAAGGGTTCTTAATATTATTCGTGCAGACTACTGCAGACAAATAAACATTGACTGGGTAATATTCAATCATAAATATTATACAATATTCTTTCATAATTTATTAAGCACG